GTGACTCCGAGTTGGTAGGGTTTCACAGAGAGATGAACTCGGTTACACCGATTGGTATGTTTTGGTCAGACCGAAAAATACTTGTGGTATGGCCTAAGCCAAATCTGTGAGACCGAAATCCTAATATCGGTCGATCCGAGATGATAGCACCACCTATCGAAACCATGCCAAAAATCATTGTGTCTTCATTGCGTTTGATTTCTCTGATCCCTCCTTTACATTCATATGCAAAGTCTTTACTTTCCGCTGCACTACTCTTAGACTTGCATGTGTAGGGTGCACTTAACTTGGTAGAATTGCAAAAGGTTGCCTACAACTAAAATTGGGAAAAGGATAAGCTTTTATTTGGTCAAGTAGTCTAATCACACCCCTCTAGACATACTTTTGATCCTACAAGTGGTATCAGAGCTTTGGTCTCCATTGCATTAGTTTCACAACCTAGGAGAGTATGGCGTCTAGTGAGGGTAATTATCACTGTAGGGGTCCATATTTCAATGGTACAAACTTTGCTAGTTGGAAGCATAAAATGAAAATGCATATTCTTGGTCATAACCCCGCCATTTGGTTTGTTGTTCGTGTTGACTTGCAAGGTGAATTCTTTGAGGATGGAAAAGGACCGGATCGTGAAGTAACCGCGGAAGAATTGAATATGTTGCAATACAATGCTCAAGCATCTGACATTCTCTTAAATGGTTTGTGCCCCGAGGAGTTCAACAAGATTAGCCGCCTCGAGAATGCAAAGGAAATTTGGGATACTTTGGTTGATATGCACAAAGGTATCGAGTCCATCAAGGAATCCAAGTTGGATGTGCTTCAAAGTCAACTTGACAAGTTCAAGATGAAGGATGGTGAAGGAGTCGCCAAAATGTAATCTAGGCTCGCTCCCATCACAAATGAGATTGCCGGCTTAGAAAGTGAAGAGATGACCGATGAGTTCATCGCCAAGAAGATCCTTAGAGCGATGGATGAAAAATATGGTACTGTGTGCACATTGATACAGATGATGCCCAACTTCAAAGATCTCAAGCCCACGGAAGTCATGGGAGGATTGTTGCTCATGAGATGTCACTCATGGACAAAGAGGAGCTCCACAACAAGTCAAGTGGTGCTTACAAAGCCTCAAGCGATGCTCCCACAACATCAAGTGACAAGCTAGTATCCAATGAAGAGATAAGTATAATGGTGAAGAACTTCAACAAGTTCTAATAGAAGCAAAGATAGAAGCTCGAACTCAAGACACTATGAGCAAAGATCATCAAGTCATGACCGTAATTGCTACAATTGTGGAATACCCAGACACTACTCCGATGAGTGTACGACACCTCACAAGAAAAGAGATGAAACACCTAGAAGAAAGAGTAGAAGAGATGAATCACCTCATAGAGAGAGAACGAGTAGAGATGATCGTTATGAACAAAGACCTTCTCAGAGAAGAGAGGGTTCGGAAAGGAAAGACAAGTCAACCAAGAGCCACTATAGAATAAGACATCGATCTCATGTTGGTGAATGGGTTTCCGGCTCCGACTCCGACAACCATTCTGAGAGAAGTTATCACTCCAACTCCGACTATAGTTAAGATGAAGGTGTTGCTGGACTTGCTCTCATATCCTCCAACTCATATGGCCTATTTGATTCACCAAATGAAGGAATTATAAGATGCTTCATGGCTAAAGCCCCAAGGTATCACACCCCGAGTAACTTGACTTTAATAGTGATGAGGATGATTTGCTAGGTGATGATGAATTGCTTGTTGATAAATTTAGTGATGTGAGCTATAATGAACTTGCTAGTAATCATGATAGTCAAGTTGAAACGAATGACAATTCTAAGAGGGAGATTGAGCGCTTAACTAAAGAACTAAACACTCTTAAGTTAGCTCATGAAATGATTGGATAGTACCGAGCCTTTAGTACCTTCACACACAAACTATTAGGCTTAATTAATAGGAGCCACGCCTGTCTAGCAAGGAGAGCCTGGTTGAAGAGTCAGAAATCTCTGAACCCCAAGCCTCCCTTTGTTTTGTGGGCTAGAATTTTCGGCCATGCCAACCAGTGCTTTTCCCTCTTGCCTTCCACCGAGCCCCACCAGAAGTTCTGAACCATTCTGTTGAGATCATCACAAATAGACATGGGTAACTTGGAGACCCCCATAATATAAGTTGGATTGGCTTGAGCAATAGCTTTAATCATGGTTTCCTTCCATGCCAGTGAGAGAGTATCCCCCCAAGCAACGATCCGCTTCAGCAAACAAGACTGCAGATTCTAAAACTTCCCTTGTGACATATGACCTTCAGGCGTTGGGAGCCCAAGGCATTTTTCCTGAAAAGTTACTATAGCGATATTGAGGACAACCCATACCTTCTCATGTTCATCCAACACACAAGAGGACCCAAACAACGCAATACAGTTTGCTGGGTTGATGCTTTGCCCTGTATCTCTCTCATATGTGTTTAGCACATCATGAATTTTTTTAGCCTGCTCCTCTTCAGCCTTAAAGAATAATAAAGTGTCATCTGCAAAGAGCAAGTGAGACACCCCAGGGGCTCAACGACATATTTTCAGCGAGGAGTAGTCACCTTTTTCCTCTCCATCTTTCAACAAAGCAGACATTCCATCAGCCACAAATAAGAATAAAAACGGGAAAGAGCAGATCACCTTGTCATATCCCACATGACATTGCGAACAATCCAAGAGGGTTCCATTGAATTTTGCAGTGTATCTCACCCAGGTGACGCAAGCCATAATCCAGTTCACCCACCCTGTCATAAGCCTTTGGCAAATCCAACTTATAGGCATAGAAGCTCTTATTAGGGTCTCTTTCATGCTATATAAAATGAATGCACTCAAACGCAATCAAAGCATTGCCTGTAATAATCCGTCCAAGAACAAAGGCACTCTATTCAGGAGAAATAATGTCATCTAAAATAAGTCTCAAATGGTTTACCACACACTTTGCCCCACCTTGTAGATGACGTTGCATAAGTTGATGGTCCTGAATTTTGTGAGCCCATCAGGTTATCCACCTTTGGAATGAGAACAATGGTAGTGTTTTTCACCCCCTCCTGCGTTATCCCCGTCTGGAAGAAATCTTTCACATCAGCGATAACTTGCTCCCTCATTCCTGCCCAGTTCCTCTGAAAGAAGCGAGCCGGGAAACCATCTGGACCCAGTGCCTTTAGTGGCCCAATCTGAAACAAGGCGCCATCTATCTCCTTGTCCATGAAATCTGCGCAGAGGCCATCATTCATGTGGTTAGTAACACGGATATTAATCAATTCAATTACTGGATCCGCACACAAAGATGTATCAGCTGTAAATAAATTTGAGAAGTAAGACGTCGCCATGGCCGCCATAGATGCATGGTCCGTGTGAGGAGTCCCTCAATCATCCACAAGCATCTTTATTCGATTTTTCCGGGCGCGCCAGACCGCTTTCCTGTGAAAGAACTGAGTATTACAGTCCCCTTCCCGCAGCCATGAAATCCTAGACCTCTGCATCCAAAGCAATTCCTCATAGTGCAAGAGCTCATTCATCTGGTTTGTCGCCTCTCTGATCTCCTTCCGATCTGCATTCATAGACATGAACTCCTCTAGGCGAGAGCGCGACTTATTAATCTCCTTTATGACCTTACCAAACTTTTTATGGCTCCAGTCATGTAGCTATTTCATCATGTTACACAAGTCAGCAGCAATATCACCAAGGTTAAGCATAAAACATGATTTAGTCCATGCGTTCATGATTAGCTCGGGAAGTGAGGGATCCCTTTCCCACATTACCTCATACTGGCGACACATCCGGCTAGTCGCCTGCACTGGCTCCTCCCAAGTACATCGGAGCAAAATGGGAAGGTGATCCGAGCTGGGGGACACGAGGTGCTCAACCTTCGTATGTCCGGAGATATCTCTCCAAGAATTGTTCGCGACGTCCCGGTCAAGGCGAACCTTGACGTTTGCATTGCCGGGTGTGCTTCGACATTAGCTATGGTGCATCACTCTCGGCGTCGAAAGTATACGGTGACGTGTTCGTGTGTGAACACATGGTAACTAAAATTGCGATCATAACGTTCCTAAAATTGCCATCGAAAACGAGTCAAATCTTGAACGTTGGGGCGTTCCAAATAAAAATCCTCCTGCTATTTATCTGTTTTTGGAAATTGGCCTGGTCATGACCTGAGGCACATCCCACTTGAAACGTCAAAATCTCGAGGGGGCCGTATGAATTTGATCGAAATTTTATTTAGGCGTGTCGGCGTATCTTCGGACGATAAGATTTGGCCTTTGTAGACCACTCGTGATGGTCTTGTCTCCTAATGGTAAGATGTGGTGCTTCTACGGTCCAGGTGCCACGCCACCGATCAGGCAACGGAAAGCTCGGGAAGCGGTGATGTAGATGCTCGATTGCCAACATCCTCCTCCCGTCTTTTACCTCTCTTCCCCGACAGCAACCCTTCTGCTGGCTTAAGCCTTACGAGTTAAGAGTCGAGGTCTCCTTTATCCTGTTTTTCTTGCGAGATGGCGGTCTGACTCTGGCATCAGTTTCTTTCAGACGTGTTTACTTTCCATCATCTCTGTGTTTTTCAATTGAATCCTTCGATTGATTCCTGGAGAAGTTTGCACAAGATTTTATCTGGACCCAGCAGGAACTGAAACAAGAAACTCCCATGACCACATTAAACCACCTCTCTATTAGATAAGAAGAACAGCATGAGTTCATCTAATGGATGGTTGACGGATCAGTTAAAACATTTTCCTCCTCGTGAGTCCATGCACCAGCAAACCAGAGTAAGTACTGTAAAAATAGAACTAGTAATGTACCACGAAGCTCTCTATATTTCTCGCTCTATGTATGTATGAATGTATGTATATGCCATATTTAGTTATGTACGCCCTGATGCATGATTTTGTACAAACGTCGAAGGAAACGAAACGAGCACACCACACAGTGCGTGCGTGACGCTAACCTGGCTTGCACGCACGACCGACCATGTCAACCCGAGCTTAGCTACTTGCACTGGCGGTTAGCGAACGCCTCCGACCTGACGATCCGGTCCATGAGCCTGCGCAGCCTCTCGGCGCCGGGCCCCGGCCTCAGCACCCAGTCCTCGGCGCCGGCGGCGCCCTCGCAGTCCCCGCTCTCGCCGCACCAGCCTCCCGCCACGAACATCCCCGCCGCCGTGCCGTTCCCGCCGCGGCCGCCCAGCAGCTGGGCGTCGATGGCGTCGAGCACGGGGTCGTCGCGCGCGAACTTGCGGGCGAAGGGCGCGTCGCTGCGCACCATGCGGTCCATGTCCCCGAGCGTGAGCGCGTGCGGGTGCTGGCGCGGCGGCACGTCCCACTGGATGTGGTGGAGGTCGTGGTTGGCCACGGTGGGCACGAACCGGGGCGCGTTGCAGACCACCGTCTGGAAGTAGCCCTCCGGCGACGACACGAAGTTGGCGTAGTACATGAGCAGCGTCCGCGGCAGGTTGTCCCACCCCCACACCACGTACTCGGTGAAGTCCCGCGTCAGCGCCACCCACGCCGACCCCGTGTACAGCCTGAACGCCGTCGGCAGCTCCCGCCGGCCGGACGCGTAGAAGATGTCCTGCTTCTTCGACGCGTACAGCCCCGGGTCCACGATCAGCGGCTGCGCGCGCTGCCCCCTGCATATCATGACACAGTCGCTCGCCGCCGTCAGTTCCAGCTCATACGTAAATATCGGTCGCCGGAGGCGGGGAAGAAGGAGAAGGAAGAGTGCTCACTCCTTCCAGCCGAGGCGGCTGGTGTGCTCGATGAAGTTGACGTTGCGCGGCAGCGTCGAGAATACGTGCAGGACATCTGCGCGCGTCGCCGCAGTTAGTTAGTCAGCGGATTCGATTATGGATAGAGATCGTGTCAAGCAAAGCCGGAATATTTTAAACGGTTTTGCTGAAAAAAATAAGGCACGTACCGTCCTGGGACATGAGCGGGTAGTCGGAGGCGGAGAGGTTGATGAACCAGTCCCAGTCGCGGCTGCGGCGGAGGAGCACGGCGCAGGCGTGCAGGGTGTTGGAGACCATGGTCGGCCCGCGGTAGGTCACCATGTTGGCACGCCGGATCACCTCCACGTTGCCGACGCGCCGGAACACGGTGCTGTTGGCCACCCGCGCCGCCAGCTCCAGCCGCTCGCCCACGGGCGCCTCGCGGTCCAGGTGCACCACGTAGAGGTTGCGCGGGTGGTAGAGCGCGTGCAGCGTGCGCCACAGCCGGTCCAGGTCGCCCTTGGACCCTGAGATGAGGTACGCCAGCCGCGGCACGCCGGCGCCGGGCGGAGGCGGCGGCGGGGTCGCTGGGGCCTGCGCCGGCTCGACGAGGGCGGCGCGGCCGGCCGGGAGGAAGGAGAAGAAGGTGGCCGAGACGGGGGACAGCGACGACGACGACGTCGTCACGGTGAGCGTGACGGCGAGGAACAGGAACACGGTGATCGCGCCCGAGAGCGTCCACCTGCTCTCGAGCAGCGTCGCCACGGCGCCGCTCGGAAGCAGGGACGACACGCCGCCGCTCGGCAGCAGGGACGACACGCCGCCGCTCGGCAGCAAGGACGACACGCCGCCGAGGCCGGCGCGCGGGGACTTGCTCGACGCGGAGTAGTGCTCGCCTCCGCCGCCGGCGCCGGCGCGCGGAGACTTGGACGACGGGGAGTACTGCTCGTCTCCGCCACCTCCGGCGCCAGAGCCGCGAGGGGACGTCTTGGCGGACGACGGCGAGTGGTTGCCGGCCCCCATGCTGCCGCGCTCGCGTCGATCGCCCACGCCCGCGCCCGCGCGCGCGCTATCACAACTGTCAATTCTCCCGAGGATCACGTAGGCGAACCGCCACCGAGCCCGCGTGGACGCGCTATGTAGGATACGAGGTGCAAAGAAAAGAAGAATTCCTTGTCGCGATAGACAAAAGGAATCGGCCGGTGGACCAACGTCAAGTGGGGAGGGGAATTTGGTCGCGAGGTTAGGTTAGGTTAATCCCAATCCCTTTGATCCGATCAACGGGGGCGACGGGAGCTTGAAAACGAGTGGAATTGAAGGCGATGGCGATGAGCAGACGACCGAAGATCCCAACTATTGACCAGTTGTTGGAACACTTGATCGATCGATCAATCCATCAATCAATCAACGACGGCACCTTCGTCACAGAGGATGATGAAATCAACCAACCAAGAAGAGGATGATCGATCGAGCGATCTAGTCGAGCAGGGAGAGAGAAAGTAAGGGAGAGTAGATCGATGGTGGAGGAGGAGGGGAGATGGCAGGTATTGCGGGGGGAGCGGTTACTATTAATTGTAGCCGGAGATGAGGATCATGAGACGATATATAGTGCGCGGGAGAAACTAAACAAGCACTAACATATTCGGGCGGAGTGGCGCGCGGCGGCCCGGCAAGTGGCGAAGCTGCCCCGGCTAACACGGCCGTTACCCCGAAATACCATCCACTGCTCCGTACCGTACGCGCCCTCCTCTCCTCCTCCGTACGCAATGCGCTCCCCTGCTCCCTCGCTCCACACACGCAAATTTTCCCTCTCGTTGCTTCTGTCGCATCATGCACGGACTCTATTTTCCCCTCTCTATACCAGTTCTTCTTTCACGCGACGACATTGGTCAAACTAGGAGCAGTACGACGTTAGGCTAACTCCAATGCTAGATGCCGTCCGGACGTCCGCTTTGTCCAGAAATCGTCCGTTTGGGATGGGAATGGGGTGGCAAATAGTCAGCGTTCCGAAGTGCAGCCCTGAACATGCATATCAGAAGGAGCTAGCGGCAAGCGATCAAGGCCCGGTTCCGACAAGTGAAGCAAGCGCGGGAGGAAGCGTTCAAGCAGAAGGCCCGGCCCAATGGCCCAGACGCAAAGCCAACCCGCGCAAGTGGCTGAAGGACTATTCCACGGCCCGTTAACTGTGTTAACGGTCGTTAGTTTAAATAGGGCATCTCTCTTTCTATTTCGATTTGGCTACGAATTGGATGACGGCTTCGGCCGGTGTAATCGGATAGCCGTGTGGGTGGATGGGAGGCTAGCTACCAAAATTTTTCCCCAAATTCAAATTCAAATCCCTAATCCTCTCCGATCCGAGTGCCTGCTTACAGTTGGTATCAGATTCAGCGGTCCTGGAGCTGCCGCGGCATCACCACGGGACACGATGGCAAGATCGGCTGCGAACGTAGGCGATGGACAAGCTCTCCGAGGAAGGGCGCGGCATGTACACGCTTCTGCGGGCGGACTTCACCACCGATTTGGATCAGCGTTTCAAGGAGCACGGCGACAACCTCCTCCAAGCCGTCGACAAGCTGATCCAGGCAAACACCACGGCGCTCGACGCCTTGCTGTCGGCGCGCGTGGACGGCGTGCACGACGAGTTCGCGCTTGAGATCGAGGAAGTCCACGGCGAGCGACCACGACATCCTGCCGGGCGCGTGGACACCTCGTCGTCCAGGATGGCTGGGAGTGGTCGCGGTGCTGCGTCCGACTCCCTTGGCGTCGAACAGGACCACCGGGGGAAGGCACATAACACATATGTCCCTCCTCCGGTCAGAGACGCGCGTGATTCCAATTTTCGTGCTCGTTCTCCTCCTATTGGTGATTCCAGGTTTCCTGATGCTGCTGATAAGTTCTCGTTTGGTGTTCGTGCTGATCTACCCCGTTTCGACGATGCAAACCCGAGGCTATGGCAGAACCGTTGTGAAGATCAATTCAAACTGTGGAGTACTCCCCAGCACAGATGGATTTCACTGGCAACATCTCAGTTTGAAGGTGCGGCAGCTCGCTGGTTGGAATCAGTGCAACGCAGATCCCCACATATGTCCTGGTCTGAATTTTGCTGTAGTTTGCAGAGCCGTTTCGGCAGGAACCAACATCAGACGCTACTTCGTCAGCTGTTCCGCATAGCTCAAACCAGGACAGTAGTTGATTATGTGGATCGATTTGCCGACTTGTATGATCAGTTGTCTGCCTATGAAGAAGTTCCTAATACCTTGCACTACACCACTCATTTCCTGGATGGACAAAAACCTGGTGTCCGAGTTGCCGTGGCGCTTCAGAAACCTAAGGACCTTGATTCAGCCTATGATTTGGCCTTACTGCATGAGGAGCTTGGGGAAGGTGTGACACATATCAATTCTCCTTCGGGTTTGAGGTCTGGTCCGTTTCGACTGCCTCTTCCTCCCAAAAACCGTGTCACTGAAGAGTGGCGTCAGCCTAAACCTCTGAAAACATCCCCAACTGACGACAAGTGGTCTGCACTGCGCACTTATCGCAAGTCTAAGGGACTGTGTTTTACTTGTGGAGAAAAGTGGTCTTGTGATCATGTGTGCAAGTCCACTGTTCAGTTGCATTTTGTGCAAGAGTTGATCGATCATGTGCAGTCTATGGATTCTAACCAGTCAGATAGCTTGGAGTCTGATACAGCTTCAGTTCATAGTATGCACCTGTCAGCAGCAGTGATTGGCAAGGACCCAAATGCTCCCTCACTTTAGTTGAAAATACAGCTTCAGAACCGTTCCTTGATCTTATTAGTGGACTCTAGTAGTACCCACTCCTTCATTGACAGTGCATTTGCTCCTTTTCTTATGGATGTACAAGATACAACTGTAGTTTCAGTTACTGTGGTAGGCGGTGCTTCTCTGCAATGCTCCCAAATGTTGAAACAGTGTCAATGGAGTTGCTGTGACTCTTAGTTTTCCTCAGATTTCATATTACTGCCATTGTCTACTTATGATGGAATACTAGGTATGGATTGGTTGTCCTAGCATAGTCCTATGCAAGTAGACTGGGTTCAGAAGTGGTTGTCCTTCGGGCATCAAGGGCGAACAGTGTCATTACAAGGCCTTCTTCCTTCAGAATTTGCTTTGACAATTGTGTCATTATCCATAATTCAGTGTGCTACTGACCAAACTGTATGCCCTGAGATGCAGGCTCTATTGGACAAGTTTCATACAGTCTTTTAGGCTCCCATTGGCCTTCCTCCCAGGCGAATGCAAGACCACCATATTCCTCTGATTCCGGGTGCAAGACCAGTTTCTGTCAGGCCATGCAGGATTGCACCCCTTCTTAAAGATGAGTTAGAGAAGCAGATTCAAGAACTTTTGTCATTGGGAATGATCAGACCCAGCAAAAGCTCATTTTCCTCCCCTGTCCTCATGGTCAAGAAAAAAGAGGAGGGATAATGGAGACTACTTGTGGATTTCAGACATCTGAATGCTATAACTTTAAAAAGCAAGTATCCTGTGCCAATTATAGATGAGTTGTTGGATGAACTAGCTGGAGCATGTTGGTTTACCAAGCTAGACCTCAAGGCTGGATTTCACCAAATCATATTAGCTCCTGGAGAAGACTACAAAACTGCATTTCAAACCCACCATGGCCACTTTGAGTTTCTGGTAGTTGCCATGGGTCTGACTGGAGCTCCAGCAACCTTTCAAGGAACTATGAATTTTGATCTGTCTCCTCTTCTTAGGAAATGTGTGTTGTGCTTCTTTGATGACATACTTGTCTTTAGCAAAACATTTAAGAACATTTGGAGCATGTTGCCCAGGTTCTGATAATTCTAAAGGAAAAAGAATGGAAGGTTAAAATGTCCAAGTGTGCTTTTGCTCAACAGGAAATTGCTTATTTGGGACATGTTATTTCTGCTAAAGGTGTATCTACAAATCCTACTAAAATCACAGCTGTCCAGAATTGGCCCACTCCAACTAATGTTAAGGAAGTTAGAGGTTTTCTTGGACTAAGTGGTTACTACATGAAGTTTATAAAGCACTATGGGATTATTGCCAAACGCCTCACTGAACTTCTCAAAAAGGGAACACCGTTTGTGTGGACCAGTATTACTGAAGAAGCCTTTGTAGTACTCAAACAAGCTCTCACCTCTGCTCCAGTCCTAGTTGTGCCTGATTTCTCCAAAACATTCATTGTGGAAACAGATGCATGTGACTACCGTGTTGGGGCTGTTTTAATGCAACAAGGACACCCCCTAGCTTATGTCAGCAAGGCTCTGGGTGTTAAAAACAGAGGTTTACAGTTTATGAGAAGGAGTATCTAGCTATTTTGCTAGCAGTCGATCAATGGAGATCCTACCTGGAGGTCCAACCATTTGTGATCAAGACTGATCAAAAGAGCTTGGCTCATTTACAAGACTAAAGATTACACACCCCCTGGCAACAGAAGTGCTTGACCAAACTATTAGGTCTGAACTACACAATCCAATATAAACAAGGCACTTCCAATACTGCTGCTGATGCATTGTCTAGGAGACCTCCTGATGGAATCCAGGTCTATCAGATTTCTAGTGCTCAACCCACTTGGTTACAGGAAATTGTTGCAAGCTACAGTCAGGACACTAAAGCTCAAGCCATACTGCAACAACTAGTTGTTGATCCTAAGTCTAAACCACCATTTTCGTTGCACCAAGGAGTTTTGTGTTACAAGAAATGCATTTGGGTTGGTCAGGACTCTGCTCTGCAACTGAAAATATTCCTTGCCTTTCATGCAAGCCAAGTTGGTGGTCACTCTGGGTTCCCTGTCACATATAAGAGGATTATTTCTCTTTCAGATGGATTGGTATGAAAAACTTCATCAAGTCTCAAGTGCAATCTTGCATCATTTGTCAACAAGCTAAACCTGAGAGGGTGCAGTACCCTGGGCTTTTATCACCTCTTCCAGTTCCTCCTAAAGCTTGGGACACAGTTTCCATGGATTTCATTTCAGGCCTTCCCTCTTCCTATCAGTACAACTGCATATTGGTA